ATCCAGTTCATTATCTGAGTTGATTGATGAAAATAAAGAAGAGACTCTTTCTCTGATTATATAACTTGAGCTCACTTTTATGACTCTGAGAGTATAGTTTATACTGGTCTTTTCAAACCTAATAGCAGATGAAGAAATTAATGCTTTAATTTTCATTGCTTTAATAGAAGATGATTTGAATACTTCTAGAATTCTTTTCAAAGCACTGTTTTGCAGACTCTGAAAGAGTTGAGTGAAATTTCTTTCATTATTTCATCAGACTTGGACTTCATAATCAGCTACTGAAGTGATACAGGCTATGTATAACTGGCTCATAGTCTGGAAGAATAGACCTCTCTCTATATTTGACAGTCTGATTATATTATTTAATAGTCTTTCTACTTTAATAGTTCTTTGTTAAACATGATATTTAAAAGTCATCTTAGAGTTTAATCATACTCTCAGTCATTTAACATTCAAACTGAGTTTAATCTCTTTGTTCAACAGAGTTAGACTTAGTTTTTTCTCATTGAATCTGGAAAAAAAGTGAATTAACTCAGTTTTATTCATATCAAATTGAATTTGATTGACATCTACTCTCAGAAAGATTTCTTTTGTCACTTTTTCAATCACTTTTAAATTCTCTTTGATTGTTTATAAACTGTGGATCAGGTCAATATTATCTACATAGCTTGAAGATCTTACTATTTTCATCTCTCTGTTCTTGAATAGATATGCAGCATATATTGCAAATAAAACTGATAAGATTGAAGATTTCTGTGATACTTCTATTTCTATCTCAGTTTCTTCTTATTTTATTTCATTAAAAAATAATTGTATAATTCTTTTAGATATGAAATAATTAACACATTTTATTAGAGAAACTGACAGTTTTAACATCTTCAAAGTTTGAATCATCTTTGACTTTGAAACATAATTAAATGCATCTTTTATATCAATGAAAACTGCTGTTGAGACCAGATATTCATTCTTTACTATTTGAATATTATAAACAACTGAAAGAACAGTGTCAATTGTGAATCATTATCTTCTATCTCTTATTTATTCATTATACAGAAGTGAATTATTAATAGAGCTTATAAAAGATAATCTAGTAGCTATTATTCTTTGTAAAATCTTTCTCAGACAGTTCAATAAAGATATTACTCTGTATAACTTAGAAATTTAAGTTTTTCTATTAGATTTTGTAAGGATTACTTCAGTAGCTGCTCTTCAGCCTTCAGAATGTTATTCATTCTTCAAGAGATTGAAAAAGAGCTCAAAGTATTTATTTCTCAAGTATGAATATGTATTTTGAATGATTAAATAATGAATTGAATCAGAGTATATAGCAGTTTTGATTGAACTGAAGAATATAGCTGACTCTGATTCATCTTGTATAAGCTCAGATCATTTTCAGTCATTCTCATTATCATCATATTTATTAAAAGACAAATTCTCTTCTTCTGAATCTGATGAATTTTGGAAGAGAATTCTTATAAAAGCTTGATATTTTTCTTCAAAAGAGTTTGCTGTATATGATTCATTCTGAAATTCATATTCTAGAGTTAAAAACTTTGCTACACTTCTTGTTTTAGTATAGTTAAAAACTTTAAGAATTTCTTTTTCATATGCTTTTTCAAGAAACTTGTTTCAACAGTCTGTTTTAGCTTTTTTAATATCTGAAAAATATTCATTTCTGATAGCTATGAGCTCTTCATCAGATATTAAGCTGTTCTTTCAATCTCTTTTAGCAGTGACTAGTTCTTTTCTTTTAAAAGAGATATTCTTATTTCATCATGATTTAGAGTATTGAGAAGCCTTTTTCTTTGAAATCTTTTCTCTAATACTTGTTAAAAGAATAGATGTAATCAGATTTACTCTATTCTCAAGCATTTCATTTAAGATATCTTGACTCAGGTTTTAATAAAGCTTACTCTGTATTTCAGATTTCAGTAGTTCTATATTTTCTTCAACTTCTTTTCAATCAGCTTTCTCAAAATTATATTAATTAGAGAGAAGAGAGTTTTCACTTATTTCTTTCTCACTCAGTTCAATATCAAATTAAATAACTTCATGTTCTGATTCTAATGTCTCACTTGAATCAATAAATCAGTTTATAAGTATTTTTTCAACTAGATTCTGTGATATGAAGATTAAATCTATTATAGACTTCTGTTTCATGCCTTTGCTAAAAAAAGTTTGTTGATCAGACTTGTTAACTAAATCTATTAAATGCTTAAAAGCTATTTTAATTATTTTCTCTGCTCTTACTGCTCTTCTGTATACTGAATTTCATCAGAGATGATGTGCATTAACATCTTCTGCAATTATAGAGATTTTTAATGAAGTTATGTTTAAAAAATCTCTATTCATTATTCAGATATTATTATTATGTTTCAATGAATTTTCATTATAGATATTTATAAGTTGTATAATATTAAACTCATTCTGTTTATCTACAATATCACTCACTAGAATATTAGAGTCAGATATAATATTAAATCTCAGATAACACTGATATCTGAATCTTTTCCTTTCATAAATCACTACTCTTGATTTTATCTCAGGTTTTTCAGGTAAAAAGCCGTCATATCTTGAATGAGAGATAATGTGCTTCTGCTCAGCATCAAAATTTGATTCTTGAATAAGTATAAAATTCACTTTTTATTCAAATGCAATTTGAAGATAAGAATAAATATAATTTGAATTTCTATTCACATTGTTTTAAATAAATATGATTTTTGACAAGTTCTTAAACTTTTTTTGTTATTGTTATTGCATATTCATACTAAAAGAAGATAGAGATTAAATACACTTTAATCACTATCATCAAGTAGCAGATTATAACTATTTTTAAAGACAGAAACTTCAACTGCTTTCATTCTTTCTAATTTATCAATGAAATTATTTCTTAATTCTCTAATCTTTACATATGTCTGAGAATTCAAATTCTATTTATTTTCAATGAAAGAATTTGAGTTTGAAGACTTAGATAGTTAACAATTTCTTCTTTTTGAGCTTCAAGATTTAGCTTTATTTAGTTGCACTTGAATTCTTCTTTTCTTCAATTCTTTTGTATTTTTGAAGCAAAAGAACATTCTTTTGAACTAGAGATATATTTCTCTTTACAGTTAGAGCATTTGAGCAGAGTATGTTAATATATATTATCTTTTTTAAAGCATATTTCACATTTATACTCACTAGTTTTGTAATTATCTACACAGAATTCATATTTTGAGTCTCGGAAACAGAAGACTGTAAAGTGTTCATACTTTTAACAGTTAGAGCACTGTGTTTAGACTGACCGTGTGACCGTGTCTGGGACTAGGACCAAACTTTACAGTTGTTATGTTGCCTAAAAGCATTACTTCTGGTCATGGTTTGTGTTCATCACATTGATCCCAAATCACATTATTTCAAATATTAAAGATCTCAGATTCACTTTTCAAATAAAAATCTAGTTCTGAATAAAGAATATGTTTGAATTCTTAGTCACATTTTCATTCTGATCTCATTATTGAGAATGGCATTAAATGAGACTATGAAATCACTTCTCACTTACATAATATCATAACATAGTGCTCATTTGTTGAAAATTCAATAGAGAGTATTATCAAATATCATTACTTTTCTGAACACAGATCATAATTCATATAATTTTAATTATGAAAAAACATAAATACAAAAAAAACAAAAACAAAAAACAAACTATTCAGAAAAATCACATTAAAAAAAAAAAGAAAGAAAAGAAAAAAAAAGAAAGAAAAATAAAAATAAAATAAAAAATCAAGATTGCAGAGCTGTAGCATTCTTAAAATACTCACTTTTCAGAGTCTTTGCAATGTTCATCATCAACTGTGTATTTCTCACAGTGAGAATAACACAGCTGTGATGAGTTTTTATCTTAATATCATTTAATAAATAATCAGTATATATCTGTATAAATGTGAATAATTAGAAAATATACACTTAAAAAGTGTGATCAGGGTGAACTCTGCTGTCACTTGAATAATATCAAGAACAGAATGCTGAAATTGATGATTTCTCTCATCAATTTCATGAACAAGGCATGTGAAGATGATCTTGAGAAATATAAGATTTCTCAACTTCTGGTAAAAACAGATCTCACAGAGAGACTCTATTTTCATAATATCAGAGACTGAGTGTTATTAAAAAGTATTACTTTCATACAATACATATGTACTTACTGCAGTGATTTACTCTCTGTGCACATGACTGAGAATTGCAGCTTTTTCACACTGTATAACTCTCTCTGAGATGCTGCTGTCAGTTTGCAATTCACACAGTCTCTCAGTTCAGCATGCACTGCATGTATACAGCCCTACATGCTGAGACTGTGTTGATTATTATGGCCTGGCGTGATACTCACTTTTTGTGAGTCATGTTTTGTTTGAGAGAGAGGAGAGAAGACATAACTGTTGTTTTATTGAAGAGAGAATGAATAATTAGTATTAATGAATTAATTTGATTCATCTGCATTTAAAATTTGATTAGTTTATACTCTTTAATTTGAGGATTTCTATGAGTGTTTTAATAGTTTTAATATCAGCTTGAACTTAGTGATGAGTTGAAGAAGAAGAGAAAAGAGAGAAGAAAGAAATAAGAATAACTTATCTTTATAATATAAAAACAGAGAATCACTGTAATCATTCTTTCTGACAATAAAGATCTGTTTTCTGCATGTATCTCTGATATAGATTATATGATAAATGCATACAAAGAATATTAATAGTGCATGTATTGAATGAAGATAATATTACTATATAACACTGTAGTCATTTCTGTACATCTCTGAAAGATGTTAATAGTTTCTTTGTCTCTTTATATTTGATAAGTTAATAATATATTTTAATACACTCTTTCTTTCATCATTATCATTATCACTATTATTATCATTATTATTATCATCACTATCATCATCATTATTATTATCATTATCATTATTATCATATCATTGCCTATCTTCACCTCTCTCTCAACACTTATTAAGATCAATCATGTTATTCCTCTTCAAATATTCTATGATTCTGCAGATCATCAAGGCGCGTGAGCACTGTCACAGATTGAAGAGAGAGAAGAAGAAGGTGTTCAAGCATGAGAAGACAGATTGCAAGGTATATTATGATGTCTTAAAGAGGCTCTGTAAGAAAGCAGAATGATAACAATTTTAAGTAACACTTGTGATAGATTTAGACTGAACTAAGTATAGAAATAATGCAGATAACATCATCTGTGAGAGATTGAAAAAGAAGACAGTGAAGAGTCTCATGCAGCAGTGATAAGACCAGGAGAAGTTCTGAGAATGATTTGAGACTAAGATGAAGAGAGAGAGAAAGAAGAAGAGTGTTACTATAAATAAGTAGCAGTAGAAGAAGATTGAGAAGATATTAAAGTAGAAGATAAAGAAGTCAAAACTAGTAAGTTTTTTATTGAGAGATAACAATTTTTGATAATACTTCTGTTCTCTAATTGATTAGCAGGAGCTGACAGAGAAGAAGAGGATTGAGACCTTGTTCAGGTCTCAAATGCACTTCATGATTCAGGACATTGAGAAGACAGCCCTGCTCTCTGAGCATGTCAATCTGCTTACTACTGAGATGAAACCTGAGACAGCAGATCAGGAAATGCGGGATTTTGAGATGCAGGTTGACCTGGCTGAGAAGAAGCAGCAGAAATCCTTCTCTGAGAAGATAGTGAAGAGAGATTTTGAGATAATTATCATCTCAGATGAGGAGAAGAAGAAGAAGAAGAAGAAGAAGAAGAAGAAGAAGAATGAGAAGTGAATTATGAAGAATGATAAGAAGAATGAGAAAGAGAAGAAGTAGATTTTTTTCTTTTTATATTAGTTAGTTATAAGTTTAAGTTTTCAATTATTAATAATTAAAATTGATTTTGAGTTTTCAAAAATTATTGTACAAGTTGTAATCAAGTCAGGAATAATATATATATATATATATATTTAACTATCATGATTCATAAATCACTATAATGTATAAGTGTCAACATTTTTTCAATATTGATATTCACAATATTAATATATTTTTAATGATATTATTTAATAACATAATTTGATAACACTCTCTTTCACAATATTAATATATTTCAAGAAATATAATAGAGATTAATCAAGATTGTTTATTTACTTTTATATATCAATAATATTCAATCTGAGTTAGTATTAAAATTATAACTAAGCTAAGAAATAAGATTATTTTCTCTTATATTAATTCTTCTTACACACATCAGTGATCAGTTATTGAAAATAAATTATCATCTTTCTCAAATTATTATCATATCTTCTGAATTCACTTCTTTCACTTCTTTTACTTCTATTGAAAATTCATAAACTCTTCAAGAAATCACTGTGAATCACAAAGTCTATATTATTTATAATTCAATACAGAATGCTCTCTTTCAATTATAATGAATAATTACTTCATTCTTCACATCTGATTTCAGGTCATGAAATTTATGAAAAACTTAACACAAATATTGAGATAAACTATAAAATAATTATCAACAGATTATATTGCAGATTACTGAAGAGTTATCTCTTTACTACAATCACTGCAACTTCATTCAGAAATATTCATTATAAACTGATCATGACTCTGAAGGAATTTTCTGATATCTGAAGTCATCAGAATGCAGATAATAAAAGAAAAATAATCAGAAAATTACTACTGAGCTGATAAGTTACTCTATCAGATAATGATTTTTAATAACACTAACTTTCTAATTTGAAGGAAATCATGTGAAAATGATTCTGTATCAGTACTCTGATTTCAAAACTCTTATCTGATAACTTTCATGAACAATTACTTCACATGTGTATATCTCTGAATCTTTCTCTTTGATCAATTGAAAACCCTGAATTCTGAATACTTCTTCAAATGCTTAATTCAAATCTTCATATTTCACATTGATTCTGTCTTCAGTTTAATCTCAAGATATACTACAAAGTCAATATACAATATCTAGAATCAGAGTTGAAGAATCATCAAAGAGTGTCTCTCACAGTGAATGCATGAACTAGTACAAACAATCTTGCATTTATAAGAGTTACATGTTATTACATTGATGAGAACTGAACTTATTAAGAGACATTAATTGAATTTGAATTATTAATCAGTAGTTATACTGAGAATTATATAGCAGAGATATTAATGACTGTGATTAAAAATGACTATTGAGATATTAGTCTCAGTCTTCTTATAATTACAACTGACAATGCTGCAAATAACTACACTATGATGAAGAGCTTGAAGCAAAAATTGACTTTGTATTTCTGAAATAATAAACAAGGTTATATTCTCTGCATTACTCATGTGGTTTAACTTGTGATATAAACACTGATAAAGAATCTTAATATCAAGATAAAGAATAATGAGATGACTGGTTCTTGAGATGAGAATGAGATGAAAGTAATTGCTCAAGTAACTTTTACATTCACTTTACAAAAGATAATGTTTTTTGATAATACTTTTTAATATTGCTTTTTAATAACACTTTTTGATAACACTACTGTTAATTTTGAATAGATTGACTAATAATTTAAATATTATAGATTTAAAACATTGCTAATATAATTTGTACCTCTTCTAAATAATAATAATGATTTCATGATATTTAATAAATAAACAAATCAGTCACATCACTGAATATGATATACAATATTAGAACACAGTGAAGTTTAATATATAAGATAACTATTCAAACTCTTCAATTGTATCAGATAATTAATCATTGAGTGTATCACTCTGATCAGAAAAAGATTCAGATATTGAAACTTTCTGATATAAAGTAAACTCAGTTGAAATATGTGATTGATTTACTGTTTCAGTTTTATAAGACAATGAAGACAGTCTCAATCACTTGTATATCAATACTGCAGTCAGTCTGATGAGTGTATAACAGTTTATTTACTTATCTTAAGAAGCAGTTGAATCACTTAAAAAGAAATTCAGTCTGAGATAATGCTATAGCACAGGCTATTGTTACTGTAAGAGATAAACTGGTATATTACTACAGCAAAACAGAACAATCTTTTACAGAGTACTATACTGTAGCAGCTCTACTAGATTTCTTCTGTTAAGTTAATATCTATACTTCTCAAGATTGAACAGAGGAGGAATAAGACTTATATATTAAATTAATTCAAGACTACTACAATATCAACTATCAGAGATTTGAATAAGCAGATGTTTGAGATGTGAAGACAGTGAAATACAATTCTCTAGTAAGTAACAATCTTTGATAACACTTCATATTATATAGAACTATAATACTAACTTTGAAACAGAACTTGCATACATTGATTGCAACTGAAAATCAGGCAAAATTACATGCTTATAAAACTAAATTTGATCACTATTTTCAAGATAATCTGATAAATTTACATATCAAATCAATTCTAGAGTTATGAAAAATTGTTGAGAGTATATATTCAACTGTTGTACTGATGACATATGATATTCTGATAATTTCATTGACAGAGGTGAGAATGAAGTGAAAGTTCAACTCAAGTCAAGATATTTATCACTATCACTGAGAATAATTATAAGAAGAAACAATCAAGAAACTCATGATTGTAAAATATGAAATTATCAGACAGTTTAATACCTCTGATCACAGTATATCAGAGAAGTGTAGTTTTTATGAGAAAGTGAAGAATAAACTTATACAAGAATGTATTTAGTTGTTTCATGAGTGTTATCAATAATCATTATCAAATTCTGATTATATAAACAATCACTGAATGAACTGAATGAGACTGATTTTGATCTTCAGTCTCAGTCTCATTCTGATTTTGAAAGAATGATCATCTTTCACAGTTTATCCTGGAAAATTACTCTCATTTCACTGTTCTTGAATTAAATCTGGTCATTTTTCACATCATTTCTCTCAGAAATGGTTCATTTTCAGATTTTTTTGAGGCTTGGTCCTGGTGAGACTCACGCCAAGAAATGTATGAGACCAGACCAAATGGGACCAAATGTGAAATTCATGGTCCCGCCGGCCAGTCTAACTGTGTTTAGTATTTGAGATTTACTCTTGTATTTTTGAATTCATGAAGTCTCATTTTCAAACCCGCTACTCTTACTTCAGAAATCTTTGAGTATTTAAGTGTTTTTATATATACAAGAACTGATGCATTTCTTCTGTTTTATCTGAACTTAATAGAGTTTAATGATACTGATTCTTTTCTGAGCTGAATTGAGTTGTATTCTTTTAATTCATTTTTCAGAAGTAGCATTTCTTCTTGACAATCAAAGATTTCAATTAGAATATCATGAAGAATAAATTCTTTCAATTTCTCATCTCTTTTAAATGAGACTGATGTATTCAGCATGAGCTCTACAGCTAATTTCTAGATATTTTCATTCTCAATTAGAAACGCTGTATTGAAATCAGACCTTGTAGTTAGAATAGTTGAGTTTTCAAAGAAAGATGACTTAATTAAAGTCATAACTGATTTTTGAACTTTAATATCACTTATCATCTGACTGAGAAACTGCTGATTAATCTCATTTCTCAGTTTGACAATAAGATTTAAGTTCAGATTTTTCAGACTCTCTTTATGAGAGACTTTCAGAATGAGTCTTCTATTTCTAGATACTTGAAAATTCTTCTCTCTTTGCAGTTTTTTCTCTTCTTTTTTTTAAGGAAGATGACTAGTTTTTTCATAACTGTGTTCAAACTTTTGAGCATTTGTTTGAACAGTGTCTTGAGTAGTTTTTTAAGCAGGGTTTTAAACAACTTTTTGAACAGCATTTTCTACTTCTTATATATATATTTTCTTCCGATTTGAAGAAGAGAATTCTGACTTTGAGATAGAACTTTTAAGAATGCTATGAATTTTTGAAATTCCAAGCTTGAACTTGATTACTTCTTATAACTGTTTAGCTAGTGTATGAAGAAATAGCAGCACTTCTTCATTCTCATCTTTCAGACACTGTTCTTCAAGTATTTTACTAGCTCTTTCAAGTTCTTGAATTTGAAACACTTATTTTTTTTCTATCTCTTCTTTCTTTCTTCTCTTCAGAATTTAAATCTTAGAAATTATATTTGAGTAATGATCTTTTTCAGTATTAACTGAGGTTAGCTTTAGACTCATTTTACTTTCTTAATAAACAGATAATCAGACTGTTTCAAAGGAAAATTTTTTCAGGTTATTTTCAAATGAAATGTTGATCAGACTATTTTAAATGAATACAAGACTTTTTATATATAAAACACCTGATTTCTTTTCACTAGTTCAGTAACTAGGTTAGATTTTTAAAGAGAATCTAATAAACTAAAATTGATTTCTAAGATAAATCAATAAAATCTTTATAATTACTTTCTTGAGATACAGTGAGGAAAAGTATGATATCAATTGATACTAAATCAGATAATATAACAGTTTTTAAGAGAAGAACTGACAAAGAATATGTCAATCTTTTACAGAGAAATTGATTAAAATCATTCAATTTTATTCTAAATCATTCAATTCTTCTCACACAACAAGTGTGCAACTCAAATCAGTTAATTCAGAGTGTAACAAAGAATTAAGTATTAATGAAAGCTCTTCAGTCACTGAATATGTAATTCTTACTTAAACAAATATGAAATTATAGCAGAAAATAACTCTGTTTTTAATTCTTTGTAAGAATATTATATAAAATCCAGAGAAAAACATCTTACTTTTTCAAGAGAAGTAAAAAACTAGTTCTAAGATCTTTTCTTTTTTTGCATTAACTGCTGCAGAAGAATGAGATAGAAACTGCTAAGATATACACTACTGTATACTCTCTAATATCTCTATATTAATTTTCTTTAATTCTTCATCTTGTGAGTCTTCTGCGACATCTTTGACAGAATACACTACTATTTTTATATGTAATATTCTTTCTCTAGTTACAGAATCACTCTACTGAGTTTCAAATATCTACTTAGTAAAGTAGTAGTTAAGAGAGATGTCAGATTCTCTCTCTACAGACTGACTACTTCTATATAAGTGAGATATTCACTGATCACTCAGCAAGTACTTATTATATATAAAAGGCCGCACAGTAACTAGATCTAAATAATATAATCAACTACTCTATAAAATCATCTTTATCACTTTTTTAATTTTTTTAAATTATGATTTCATTTTGAAATCTGATTAATAGTCACTTTGCATATTCTTTTACTAAATAGTCTCAGTGAAATTTATACTAAGAAATGTATAAAATCAGATCAAATGAAATTAAACATAAAATTCATAATTTTATTAATCAGTTTAACTATGAATAATTTACTAGAGTTTTAACTTAATTACTTCTGTAAATTATACTTTGCTATCATTATTTTTTATTGTTATTTACTATTTTCATTGATATTTTTTTCTTATCATCATTTGATCTG